AAAGGAAAATATCTAAGGTTTTAGTTTAAAAAAAAATTATGTTGATTTGTTGATTTTTGAAAAAGTTATGGAAGTTTTAAGAAAAAAAAGTGAAAAAAATGACAAAATTTGTCGATTTTTAAATTTGTAATTTTTTTGGATATTTCCCCCATTTGCGGGGAACGAGGGAAAATTTTTAAATTTTTAAGGGTAATGTCTTCAACTAGATACAATTTGTGATCTTTTGACGTATTGTTAAAAGAAATCGGTCCAGTGAGAGCTGAGAAAAAGTAGTGACAGACACAAAAAAAAAAATAAACACATCATGGTAAAATTAATACCTTCTCAGCTTCGCATCGAAGCTAAAAATTTTTTTTTGCGATTATTAAATGTTTTACGAATATTTAATCGCCTCTTACAATACGCCTAACAAATTACTAAAAATATATTTAAAATTTTAATTGCATATAATTTCTAAGTAACCTCCAGAAATCACCTTTTTAAGGTAATAGTTATAACTCTCATGTGATGATCATCCACCTTGCCGTATACATGTATACGATAAAGCGATGATTGTCGCAACAAGCTTCAACACTTATCCACTTAACTAAACATTTGCAATATCTAAATTGCATACCAGGAATTCATGTGGTATCCTGAAATGAGTTGACCTATGGACATTTTAAACCTGTACTGTTATATTGTATCAAACCTAGTACCAGGAATTTATGAGAACTAATGTTCAGCGGTTCATATATCTACAGAAGATGTCCAGCGCTTCGCCAGCAATTTTCAAGTAGCCCACCAAGCCATCATGATTATACAATACAATTTATTCTAATAATGATATTATCTTTTCTAATTGACAGTGTCAATGCTATTTATGAGTTCCTGGTACTAAAATTTTAACTTTTATCTGAAACTCAACCAAACTAATTTGTCTTAATGTGAATTTAAACTAGTAAAATTCAATAGTGTATCAATATTGTCATCGGGAGGGGTAAGATTTATTAAAATTCGTATAATATTTCCAAAATTGTATTTTAAGCATGAAATTATTTTACTCGTTGTGGGTTTCAATACATAAACAACGTTTGGTAACCAGTGGCGAAAGTGCGAAAGGGGTTTTTGTGTTCCCATTCCACTTCAGTACAAAAATTCTACACTACTGTATATTCCAATAACAAAATTTCCACAAACTTTTAAAAGAGGTCAAATATAATTTATAAATATATATAAATTCGCTTTTTAGTTATATTATAACTGTAATATATAATATCTTTTGTTAATTAACAATTTCTTATACGAGTAAATTTCTTGTACAAGTTCTAAACATAAAAATACCAATGCACATTCATTTCATAGACTTGGCTATTCTAATGTAACTGATTAATAAAATGTATAGATATTATTTATTTATAACACTTAATGATACGCAGAAAAGAAGTATTTTAAGAAATTTTACTACATAATTTTTCTCTTGTTTATCACAAAACTGCGAAGATGTTACCACTCGCCTTGGATTATTCAAGGTAAGGAAATCCTATTTAAGAAACCGCTATTAACAGACAGCTATAGTCTTGTAATATGNAATCCTATTTAAGAAACCGCTATTAACAGACAGCTATAGTCTTGTAATATGAATAATAAATTACGAATTAACTTTGACTTATACATGGATAACCTGTATAGAACATCCAATTTCATTTGATATGAGTTAAAAGTCGAGTTAATATAGATTAATAAGTCTAAGAAAAGAGTTATAATAAATTATATATAATACTCTTCAATAACTATGTCAAAGTAACAAAATTGATACCGTATTTTTACTTCAATAATAATTATGAAAAATATAAATATTATTCTATTTCATATTATTGGATTACTTAAAATAAGAAGACATTTTAAATTTTCTATATTTACATTTTTTGTTTATTACATAAAACATACAGTGTATATTTAAGTAGTTAATACAACAATAGTATTAATTATGTATATTAATATAAATTAATGAATGTATACATAATTCATTACTTTAATTCACTAAATAGGTAGCAACAAAGAGATATGATGTATTCTATTTATTTACAAATAGAAAATCAAATATTAACTTCAATAAGTGATTGTAACAATAACATTACATTAGTAACGACAAATTTGACTACTTAAGCGCATTAAAGAAACGATTTTGTTTTTGAACGTTTGCCGTCAGACTTAGAAAATAGGCAGTCTTATAGAGAATCACTAAAATTCTATAATCTAGATATAAATGAATGCAATTATACATTTAAAAAAATGTATAAATACTCGAACGATTTTCTAAAAAAAGAAGATGAAGCTCAATATAAAATTGATAATTAATTCTAAAGTTATTACAAACTATTAAGGCGGCAGATATCTAAACTATAAAACTTTATCACAGATAGATACAACAATATAACAATATTACTTGATTATGTATCATAATTGAATAGGCATCAATACAATAAGATTTAAAGTAGTTAGTAAAACAAAATTATTTCGAATAATATAACTTTACTTAGTTATCGGTAAACTGGTCGCAAAACTATTAAATTTAAAATACGTTCAAGTTTCTTGATTAGAAGTTCGACACAATAAATTATATAAAATTTATAAAATGAAAAGTTCGAATTAATTTCACAATATTTACTTAAAAAATTATTTTCAAGCCATTGAAACAACGTAAAATATTTATTCAATAAATTTTCAAAAACTATAAAAAAAAAAATTACATTAATGGTGTTAAAATTAAAGATAAAAACGTGTCCAAATAAAATTTTTCAAAAAATTGAAATAACATGAAAAATATAAAACAATTATCAATTTCTTTAAACAATAATTTTTGATTCTGTAATTTGAAATAATTTTTCTTAAGAATTATTATAACTTAGTTGTTATATAATAAACAATACACATAAATTTAGATTAATAAGTAGTGTTATTTCTACTTCATAGTTATGATGATTTATCAACTTATTTTTATGTTATTCGGTTAGACCATTTTTTTATGGCACTGATAACATGAAAAATATACTAAGTCACAAAACTAAATTTTTTTAGAAAAGAGTAAAATCTATTTTCCATACCATGTGAACTTACGGGAAGCGTCTTTTTGTTTTCCTTGTTATTCTTTTAATATGCATAACTTTTTTTTATTTTTCACAGAGTCATTAGGATTTTAACTTACTATGTTTTCTACAAAAAACGAAAAATTAATTTTTTTGAACTTTTTTCCCGTATCAACGCCTTAAATGTTCTACTGGAAATTAAATAGTAACTGAAGATATTTTGAAACATATTATATAATTATTTAATCTTTGAAACTTAAAAATAGCTTAATTTACAAGATTTTTTTTTTTAGAATAAATGATTTTATTATATGTAAACCCATGAAACATCGTCGAATATCATATAATGTACGTATAAATAATTTTTAATTTTTAATTTATAATGATCTTAATTCATATGATTATCGTGAAATCAGAACGATGTTCTAGAGTAACTTTGTAATTAACGCTATTTTCATTATATAGTAAGTATAAACAGAAGTAGAAAATATAAGTTTTAAGAGAAATGATATTCTAGCTATAAAATATCATAACTTTATAAAGTAAGAATCTAATATCAAGTTTAAAAACTAGGCACTTATACAAAATTCATTACAACAAATTTGGCATAGGGTTAAATAAAATCCATTTAGAATTTTATATATTGACCAAAAAATGTATTTAATTCATACAGTTATAAACTGTCATAATTTACAAAAATGAAACTTTTATTAAAATTGTATTGAAAAAAACTTTTAATAAAATTGTCATTCAATTAAATTTTATTCTATAAACTGACTTAACTTAAACTCTACATAATATTTTTATTATAATATACTCAATAGTTTTTAATAAGGCAAAATGGAGTAAATATAAACTCATTTTTTCTCTTAGATTATTTGGCAGATTTTATTTTAGATCAAAAAGTTCTAATCTTTACACGTGCAGCTAATATATTAAATGCAAGTTCAAAGTAAAAACTTGTGCATTTACCTAAAAAAATGCTTTTACATTTACCCAACTTCACCCTATTAAATTTAATCACTTAATAAAAAAAAAAGTTGATTAATTTCTATAAAATATTATTCATTTCATAAAAAATAAATTTTTTTTGCATAGTATATTGCTTAATCAATATAACATGATTTTAAATTATAAAATGACAAGAGGTCATTATTAAATTAATTTAAACATTACACTTGAAGTTTGATCTTACGGTAACTCATATTTTATTAAAGTCGATTAGTATTTATTTTCCAATCATGTTTTATTCTGGTTACTAGTATTAATACTTTGAATGAAATAAAATAGTAGCTAAAAAAATTTTTATGTCAATCGATCAATTAGAGCAATCGTATACATCATAAACGCCAATAATGTTTTCCCACTGTCAATATTTTCCGATGAGAGAAATTAAATGGAAATAAAAAAATAATAATTTACTTGGAATAAAATTTATTATTTATTCTACCAACTATTTTATTGAACTTTCATGTGTTTTGCATACATTTCAAGTTTATTTACTTAAAGTTTTATTTAAATCAAATAAGGTCTGTGCTAACAAAAAAATAAATAATAATAGTTAAATACCAATTTTTGGAAGCCTAGCTCGTTAAAGTCAATAATGTTCGTATCGTGCTTACCGTAGTATATAATATCTCGACGTCTGATATGAAATGGGCTATAAAAATATGTTTATCGTTTCAATCGTTACCATGGTAAACGTTTTCTGTAATAATATATGTTGAAGTGACAATAGGGAACGTTCAACAAATACCTTCTTTTTTTATAAAAGAATCTTATACAAAGCGTACATTGCATATTTACTAAAATGACAAGAACACATTGTGTAATAGCACCTCCTTATTATTTTTGAAATTAGTATATTTTTGAACTGTTGAGATCTTGAAAAATTATTTTACAGATTTATTTTGATTCAATTGAAAAAAAATTATATTATTATTTTAGTGAATAAATTACAAAATAAACAAACCAAAAATAACCTTTTGTTGCATCGGTTATACGTCAAGAAATAATGGGTTCCATAATGAAAAACGATTGGCATTTCTAAAAGGAAAAGTCGTTTAATACAAAATTCCAAATTAATAACATCCCTAACATTTATCAAATGGTTACCAATAAGAGGGTTTATATTTTAACATTGCGATTTCCTTAGAGACAAACGAAAACTCATCAATAACTCCCTATGTCGTTTTTATAAGTTTTGCGTCTTCATTTTATACCACTATTTTTAATGGTATAAAAAGTATTTTACTGATCTTAGATTGAGCTTCAGTAAGTTTTACTTGTGCAAATGTATTCTTATCGAATTTATATCAAATTTTTAATAACGACTTCATGTACAACAATAAGTAGTTGTTTTTTTATGTTACATAGTAAACCTTAGTAATTCGTATCTATCAAGGGATCATAGAAATTGACTCATAAAAAAAACTATTGTTTCGTTGTATAATTACATTGCATTTAGCCTTATAATTACCTAATCGATACGCACGAATGAGCTACTCGTTTTAGGAATAAGTTAGTGAATATGGGGTGAGTACTTAGCAAAACTCAGCTTTATACCACAGACTCGCTGTACTTGTGGAGGCACATTAAATTAGGGTCGGACCACGCCTATGCTTATGGGTGAGACAAGAATATCGGTCGGTTCGTATCACAAAGTAATTATTTAAGTTTTCCTTTTTACACTAGCTTCGATCCGCACGTCCAATGTATTGACCGGGCTAGCATCGTCTTCAGATCGCCTGCCAGGGAACCTAGACCGCAACAGTGCATCGGATCTCTCCTCGGGTATGGTTAGGGTCACGTACGAACGCGATAGAGGGGGAGGCGCCAGTAACACTGGATTTTGCGGTACTGTTAGCAAGTTGCTTTTCGTTTCCCTGGTACAATATCCGATTGACGCTGGACCACCAGATTCTAAATCCGACATTGACTTGACTTGCTTTGTCGGCCATTCTGAGAATTGTTCTTCCTGAGTCGATAGCGACTCTTTGACGGACAGTTTTTGAGAAATGTTAATTTGATGTGATGATTTTTGTTGAGCGTTTCTAATATTTTCATTTTGAACAGTCTAAAATATTAGAATTTAACATAAAATTATTGAAATAATACTATCTTCATTTTATAATACATATTAAATTTAAATACATATATAAAATATTACTGAAACATTCTAATCAATAAAAACAATGCAAGTATGATTTTTTTCAAATCATATTTTTTCTATTCAAATATTGAAAATATTTGAAGTCTTATTTATAGTTCTATAAAATAATGCCAATAACGGTTAGGAGTTGTTTTAATATAAAACTTTTTTATTTCGTTTTTGTAACAACTATAAATTATAATAATACCAACAATAAAAAAATTATACGCTCAATTTACATTTACAATTATTCTTTTAAAAAATTTTCTTTTAATTAACTTTCGAACAAAAAATTACTTCAGCATGATGTGATTTTTAATTTTGTGGTGGTGGTTTCACTGGCTATTAAATAAAAAATGTAACAAAAATCAGTAAAAGGAAATGTTCAACTCTTTAAGTTATTTGAGTGCATTAACCCATCGATCAATAAGTTTCAGTAAAAAGTATAAAATGTTTACCGGCACTAATGTCACGAAAAATTTTAACTTTCGAACTATTTTTTTATAACTATACAGTTTTATTCGAAAGGGGTTACAAACTTCGCAGTATTGTTGCTCTTTCAATGTTAGAATGAACGAATTTATCAAAATTATCAAAAATGGAACTTGAAATACTAAAAATAACAATTTTCTCTGAGATATTCAATTCACGTTGTTATCAAGATAGCTAAATAAGATTATACTTTTTCAATGACGCTGAATGTCGTTTTGTATATTATTATTATTATTTTTCTATAATAAACATTAATGAGTAGATTTGGCTTACAGAAAACTGACGATTTCTCGCATCGAACTGAGGAATCATAAATGAAGGTAATAGGGTAGGTGGCATAAGAATGTTTGATTCTTGTACAGTTTGACGTCTTTTCTGGGAACGCATTGTAGTTTGTTCTGTTAGTTTACCATTCCAAGAATTGAAAGAAAACCTTCTACCATAACCTGTGATCAAATACAATAAGACAATTAACAGTCTCAAATAACATCACAAAAAGATTACCTTGATATAATGGCGAAGGAGGCAAGCTTTTGAATGTAAAATCAGCGGGTAGTGAAAACTCTTTACAGAGAGGATTTTGGTTCCCATATTCTTGGTCAAGTGCCATTTGCACCAGTTGTTCTTCTTCCTCGGCTGCCATTTCCCTTTCAAGTTCATCTTCCATGTCCATTTCATCTTCCATCTTTTACAAAGAAAATTTTAATTAATAAAATCCATCCACAACATTTGAATTGTCTTCACAACAATGAAAATTTCTTTAATTTCCAAAAATATTTCGTAATGTTTATGTATTTGTTAATAAGGAAATCAATTTATAGTTTTTATTTATTGGAAACTTTAAGTTGAATATAAATATTGATATTATTCATAGTTTTGAAATAACTGTTAATAAGAATTATTTAATGTTTGTGAGTTATAATTAAATATTACGTATCTAATTAAGTATGGATGTTACGTTACATTTTAAAATAAATATATATTTAATAAAGTTATCATTTACTTAATACTATTAAAAAACAGTATTAATTTCAGAATAAAAATTTATACTTTTTGGACTTAATAATAAATTTATTGCATTAATGTACAGACTTAAAAGAAAAATGATTTGGTTAAAAAACTGTACAACATTATGTAGTCAAATAACTTTTTTTTTAAATCCCTTTATAAATTGAAATAATGCAATTCAACTTCGATGCTCTGATGAGAGATATTAGTTTTATCAAGTGTGTTATTTTTTAGGTCCGTGAAAACTTTCAGCTTTCATTGGACCGTGAGACGTTAATGTTTAATACGTCAAAAGAACTCTATTTTAATCTAATTAAACTTATCAGCACCGATAATTTAAAAAAAACGTTCAATTTTAAAATTTTTTAAAAATATCTCAAAATTATGCTATCTTAAAAAAGGGCATTTTCAAAAAATATTTTCTATATATTAAAATTGCTATTATTTATTATTAAAACACTGATCTAAATGAAATTTGAACACAGTAAAAAATGCCTTAAACTTTCTTTGTGAAATTCCAGTAAAAAGCACGAGTATTCAAAAGATTTAAAAGAGACCACCCATGCATGTAATTTTATTTTTTAACTTAATTTTTTAAATGTTTCAAAACGTCTGACAACTTTTAATCCATATCAAAAGCTCTTGAAGTTTACTGAAATATTAAAAAAAACCACCCATCAGTGTTCTGCTATAAGATATTGGCCGTCAAATTAAAAAAATTCGCAATTTTTTAAGAATTAATTTTTTTTTTAATTAGATAAATAATATAACAAATATTTAATATTTAAAATTAAAAAACATAGAAGTTGTGAAATTACAAATATATTAATATTGTGAAATTGAATAGAGATGCAACGAAGCGTTTTTCGTGGTAGTGATTTTAATCACTGTCAAATGTCACCTATACTTGTCCTAACTATGATGCGACCTCACTGTACTCAATTTTTATATTGTAATGTGAAGGACTTTTTTATACTCCTTATACCATAAAAATGTATGTAAAACCATACTTGACATTATTCAGTGTTAAAAATTCTGGAATCTTGCCACTTGTAATTGAGCTTTATAAAATGTTTTCTGTACACAAATTATTGTTGTACTAACTAGGACAGGGCATAAATAAGCAAACTAATAGAAAAGTTTGTGTTTTATAGCTGATAATATCTCTTTTATTACATTTATTTCAATGACGTTACTAATCAATACGTCCCAGTTACGAAAAGAAAATCGAATTTTGTAAAAAGCCTAGGTTATTTTTATATTAATAATGAATTGAAACCAAAGTTCTTTGAACTTATTTTTTCTTCAAGTAAATTTTAACTCAACTGAAATATTTTCCACCCAATGCTGCTTTTTTCCTTTCGATTATTTTTAGATTACGAACAAGTTAACTTTTTATTTTTTCAATTATTACATTGTAGAAAAAAAGAAGAATTTAATCTATAAAATTCTAAAAATATGAGTTTTCATTCGCAAAAAATCATAATATCTGCAATTTGATAATAACGTGAGATAGTAAAAAGTTTACCTGCTTATGTGATTCCTCGAGATGCTTCATCAATACTGCAACCACTACGTTAACCAATACAAATTGAGCCATCAACACAAATATAACAAAGAACATAGGTGCAATTCCTGCGGCTACGCAACAATTTTTTACGCAGTCAGTAGAGTCATCACAATCTTCTCGAAGAGCATCCTTCATTATACCGCTCCAATTGTCCCCGGTGGCAACGCGGAAAAGTGTCAAGAATGCCATTCCAAAATTTCCAAAGTGTGCGTGCTCCCCTAAACCCTGACAAGTGTGCTCTTCACTGCATTCTAAAAATCATAATACTTGAATAATTTTTATTATATACCAGTATTAATTTTCTATTTCGTACGTTTTAAGAATATTTATTCAAAAATTCTATGAACTTAAATACATTTATTTTAAATTATATAAAATAAATAGAAAAATATAATATTTATTTTATAGTATTAAATATAATTCTTACCTAATCTTCCAAATAACTCCACGCCTAAAGCGGCAAATATGAAAAACAACAAGAAGAACAAGAGTCCTAAATTTCCAACTTGAGGCAAAGCTTGCATTACAGTGTCTAATAGAGCTCTGATCCCTTTCGCCATTTTCAGTAGTTTCAAAACTATATAATTCAGAAAAAACCCCATATTAATAAATTAGTATAGTAAAACGAATACTTTTACCAAAGCCGGATTTATACTTTCGGGGTCCAGGGCAAAATTCTTTTGGAACCTTTACAAGTCAGAATAAAAAAAAAATGAGCCCGAAAATGTTAAAACCCGATTCTCTAAAATTTTTGTATAAGTGCAATAAGAGGGCATTAGTCGGCATTCTAGAGGCCCCTAAAACCGTGGAAATCGGGACATGTACCTTTAAAACTTTTCTCAAATCCTGTTATAACTTATTGTTTGATTTTAATCATTAATTTAATACAATTTTAAATTAACGTCATCTACTAAACAATTATTTAAATTACAATAGTATCACAATAGCGTATTAATATAGAATCATAGAACTATGTATAAAATATGAATATATATGTAATTAAATATACAGTAGTTGCGGTAATAAGGTCCAGCCTGTACTATGCCTAATACAAGCTAGATCTCATTACCACACCTATTTCACATGGTTTATTCAGTAATTTGTTGAAATACTTAAAAGTTTGCCGAAACTGTATAATTCAAGGGAGTAAGAATAATATCAAATAAATACCAGTGGATATTTAACCATTAGATAATATAGTGATATTGGTTGGTTTTATTTTTATTGTCGAGCAAGAAGGAGCCTATTCCAATAATATAACGAGTCACAAATCGTTACGTCGTCTGCATTCTTTACGATGCCTTTAAAATGTTTACTGTTTCGTATTAAAATTAAAAAAAAAAAACCTTGGAATAATTTCAAACTGGTACCTTTATTTCTTTATGCAATCACATTCAGTTTCGTGATTTGGAAATATATCACTTTTTGATTAATATTCCTTAGCTCGTGAAATATTAAATGAAAAATTTAAAAAGTAGTTGGCGTTTTAGCTGTTTATAAATAAATTCGTGCGTACTATAAAGACTAAATTATACCGAACACAAAGGCTCAATGTTAATAATATTTAAGAACAAATTATTATAAAAATATAAAACAATGTGCGACTCAATCCCTTGAAAGCCAAATAATAATGTTTACAACAATGCTGCGGTAGTTTGTTCGGCCAAGCGAATGTTTTAGTAGTGCTAATTAGTAGCGCTTTTACCTACATATTTATAGATTATGTATAAAGTCATTTCCTTGGAAAAGGGTTGTAACATTATTCAAAACAACCGGTAAAAAGGACACAGACGCACAAATATTATGTAAAGATTAAACTAGAAAACCATGGTCATATATATTTTGGTATTCAGTGAACACAAATTTATTACAAAATCAGGAAAATTGGTCCACAACGAATCGCATTGAGCTTTAAGTTCTTATTCATTAAAACCTACATTTATATATCTACGGTTTAAAATTATTTTATGTTGTAAATTTAAGAAATTGTATATTATGTTGAATTCTACGGCAATCAATTTATAAAAAACATAACTACGAATTTATATAATTATAAATAGATAAAAATATTATATTAACTCTCATGTGATGACTATTTTCACAAACAATAAAAGGATAAGTTTTGATAAAATTTTCTTCATAAAATAATAAGAATACTAACCTCTAGCTATTCGCATGACTCTCATCACTCGAATGATAGTAGGGTTTATTGGTATTATTTTCGATTCTAATTCTTCCAACGTGATTCCTACTATAGATAATATGACAATACCAATGTCTAACAGATTCCATCTGTCTTTTACGTAAAGTTGCATTCCGAGAGCTAACATTTTCATTACACATTCTAATATGAACACGGCAGTAAAAAAATAATTGAATATTTTTAATGCATATGTCAGAGCCTAATATGTATTTGAAAGAAAATTATTAATTATAATGAAATGAAATATACTAATGTTCATAAATTATTCAACAAAGTTTACTTTAGGCATCATGTAGAATTCTAAAGCCATAGTGACCACGTTTAAACCAATAACAGCAGCAATGGCTAAATCGAAATATTTTGAAGTTACAACACTGTGAACTAATAACCGAGCACTACTATAATCTCGGTAGTATGGAGGTTCGTGCATTTCTAAAATAATAAATTTTATACTTTAAATAGAGTATTTCAAATTTTTATTGAGAATCAATTATCGTACTTCTTCTTTTCTTTTCCATTTGTTTCGCTCGTTTTGCCAATCGACGAACTCTTTCTTCTTTCTCTTGCTCTTCACGACATCGATGAAAATTTTCCACAACTACTCCAACAAACATATTAAGAACGAAAAAACCAACCAAAAGTATAAAGGATATGAAATACAATAAACGCCATTCGGAGTAATTTTCGATGGGCTGAAAGTTTAAAAATATACTTAATTGATTTTTCTGATATGTTGTCAATATGACGTTGAAAACTAAACAATATTTCATATTGTTTACTATAAACATTATATCTTACTTGTTGATCAACACCGACTGCATCCAAGCCAGTGTACATTATGTTTACCCATCCATCTCTGGATGACAAAACAAACAGTGCCATTAGAGCCTTGCCGAGGTCATCGAAATTATATTTTTGATTGATCCAAACGTTTTTTTTGTCGGCTAAACATTCAGTTTTGTCACGTACGTGTTTAACGTTTGGACCTTCACAATGATAAAATGTCCCTTTGAAAAGCTAAATGGATAAATATAATTAAATTACTATGACCATAATATAATAAGGCAATGACCTATATTTGAATTTATGTAACAAATTGCAATAATAACTATTATAATCATTAATTTAGAGTAATTAAGTATTTCATTGTTATTCAAATAATTAGTGAAAATAACAAATATAATACATGTTTAACGAAAATAACGCACCTGAGATACAGGAAAAATTTAAAATATTAATGAGTTGGTAAAAGTACAAGTAATAAAAAAACAACATTTTAAAATAAATAACTAAAAATAAAATTGTATAACTTCTAAATCTGGTGTTTAAAAATATAAGGAAATTAAAATGTAACGAGAGTAAAAAACGATTCGTCACAAATTTATCATACATGAGCTATGCTTTAAAAAACATGTTGCAAATGTGTGGTAAAAGCAAAAGTGGTGTAATTTAATTTTTATAGTATTTCAGTAGAGTCGTTAGAAATATCTTAATTCCATAAGGATTAATATAAATGTAGATTAAAAAATAAAATAATATCGCCATATAATAATTTTATTGCTATCGTTGATAGTAAAGATAGAGTTAAGTTTGAAATTTTTATTTTGAGGTCAAACTTATTTTATTCAAATTGATTTGCATCACTTTCGCTCTTACGCCTCCCAAAAAACTAAGATTAAATTAATGATTTCTACGCATTTCAATTAGTAAAAATGGAATACTCAATTTTTTTTTTAAGTAAAAATATGTAAACTAACTTAAATGTCAATTCACGTCAGTCTAAAAGAAAGTTAATTGTATATCAACATAATTAAAAATACCATAGAATTATTGTGCAATGACTTTTTAAATCATAAAACGTAAAACTTTTTTTATGCAACTTTTGATTTGATTTTTTTCTTAGAAGCAAAGAAAAAGAGGAAAAAAATAAAACATTTATTACAAGAGAAATAGTACAAGCTTAAACCTCAATAAAAATTCTTTTATTTCATACCATAGTTACATGTTAGTGATTATAGTAATTTTAAATATTTAAAAAGCAACATTTAGTGTAGTGAAACATAGATAAAGTTTTCATATAGTAAAACAATTTTCATAAAATTTAAATGGAAATCCTTGGAGAACCAAAAAAAAAAATCCATTAAAACTCTAAATATGTTTTACGTTCAAAATAGTTTAATTTATGAAATGTCATGCATAATTTAATTATTTTATAACATTCATAGCTGTTATTTAAATTGCTTTATAAACTTTGTGTAATTAAGAAAGTAACTTTTTCTCATTTAAGCAATATAATGCAAAAATAAAGAAGTGATTACAACTTTTAGGTTACTTTAATGTATTTGTGATTTGAATTCTGTTTAGCTTTGTATTAATTTAAAAAAATGAAACTTTTGTTACTTTTAACTAATTGAAATACTTATTACCTAATGACGGTAAAAAAAAAAACCATAATATCCGATAATTTTTTTTTTGAATATTTAAAACATGTGTTAAATATTTCAGTATAAATAATAAATATTTTATTTTACAAAAAATCTGAGTAAAATACTTACTTGAACACCTAAAATTCCAAATATGATAAAAAAAGTGCAACATATTAATACAATGTTGCCAATCGGTCTTAGTGAGGATAATAATGTTTGAACAACTAATTTTAAGCCTGGTGCCCTGTTAATGACTCTTAATGGACGTAGAGATCTCAATAATCTAAACACCTGTAAAATGTATTGATTTGATTTACATAAAAAGATGAATTATTTATTTTTTTTTGTAACTTTTTAAAAATAATCAATTAGAATAAAAAATAATAAATAATGTTTGTTATTAAACCACATTTTTTACGAAAACAATTTCAGTACATACGTATAATCAAAACTATATAGTTCATTATTATTTTTTAATTATAAATATTCGTTACTATAATAAAAAAGATAATTAAAGAAAAACTGGAATTAAAATAAAAAGTAAAAATAATTTGCATTTTAAAAAATCGATGACATCATTTTTATAGTGAAAAGTTAAAAATAAATATATTGAATAATATTTTGTATTTTGCAATAAGTAATTATTAATGTTATTTTGATGGGAATGAATTTATTTGTTCTATACTGTGTTGTTTTATAAACAAGTAAACATTAACGTATTTTTAGTATTTTGTTTTTGTCTTAATGATAAACTAGTTTGCGTAAACTTTATTTAGCTAATAATAAATCTATCATTTAATTTTCACGAATATGAAATAATTACCCTTAAAATTCCAAATATTTTTGGACTACTTTCAGAGATCAATGACATAAGTAAATCTATTATTGACACAACAACCAAAAAGCCATCCATTATGTTCCAACCCGATTTAAAGTAGGGTTCTTTTCCGTAGAACATTCCAGCAGCTACGACCTGAATTAGTAGTAAGAAACGGGATATTTTATTGAGGTTGCACTATCAGATGACATGACATGAGCTTACTTTTACAAACATTTCTAGCGCAAAAACTACAGTAAATATATAATTAGCTGTGGCTAAAAAAATCCTCTCGTTACTGTCTGGTGGAATATTTGGTCTTTCCATTGCTAATGTTATACAGTTCAATGCTATAAACATTAATACAGCGTTGTCGAACCACTTTTGTTTTATAAATTTTGCGCAGGATAATCTAAAACTTTATATGAAAATCTCCGTTAGTTCAGGAATAATTATACTAATAATATCACTACAAATCTCAATTCCATATTCATTGTTTACTATTTTTGGTTAAAGTAAAACATTCTAATACTAATTCATCTTTTATAATATAAAGACACCTCACTATCAAGAGTGACAAGCAAGTCTAAATTTTCATGTGTAATATAGCAAAATATTTAAAAAACTTAAATGTTTTTATTAAAAATTTTTTGATTGTGTTATATAATATGTATTGCATTTAGAATTATATTTTATTAGAAATATAATTTATCATGATGGCCATTCCTAAATAATATAACGAATAGGAAGGAAAAGACGCAACAAGAAAATTATTAGGATATATCACATTTTAAATTTCTGAAAGAGTTTCATATCAATGCTAAAACTCCATCCGTAAAAAGTTATTCGCGAAATAGAAACAGGTTGTTGAAATCCCAGAGAATTGTTTTTATTATTATTATTGTAAAATTTCTAGTCAGAATCTCGCATGAAAACTATAAGTAATGCTGATTTTTACTTACGGGTGATCAGGTGGAAAAATGTACAATGAGTACTCCACTTTATCTTTGAGCCATCCTTTTTCTTGAAAGAAGTAAAACACCTTTCGAGAATTGGCTTTGGTGTCAGCTGTATCACAATCGCAACACGGATCAGACGATTTATCATCGGATCTTACACAAGCTTCCGAATTGCAAGGTTGGCAGCAGTCATAAGGGCAACTGCTCAATACGTTATTTACAACGTTCTGTAAATTGACACATACAAATAAATTATAACAGTAGCGTACTGTATTAATAATTAAATACATAAATTAAAAATTTATTTCAACCTTTACTTTATTCGTTGTTTTTCTCGATATTCCACAATAATATATTTATGCAATTTTATATAAAAAAATTAAAATATATATAAAAGTTAATAATTACAAACTTTTTAAAGTTTATACTTCATAATTTTAGATAAACAATAGTTTTTTATTAAATCCTTTTAATAATTATTAACAGGATTATAATTATATTATTCAGATTTTTAATTTTTTTTTATATTGATAAGATGAAAAAATAAACAGCACAGGGGGGTCGCGGCACAGTGGTGACGTGGCATAGTTGGGTCAAGTATAATGATATCTGACAGTGATTAAAATCACTATCATAAAAAACGCATCGATGCAAATCTGTAGATAGTGTTTAATTTTAAAAAAATTGGTGGATTATTCAAAAAGCTACATGATCTCCTATTTCCATATTTAAATCCTGATTACAAGTTTTATGATTTATAAGTGTAATATAAGAATATATATGGTGTTATTTTAAAAAAAAAGTATGACGAAAGAATGAGGGATATAAATATTATTTTTCATAAAAAAATTGTATTGATCCATACAGTTTTCAATAAGTTATAGCATTATAAAGTTAAAAATATAAAATCGAGAATTTTTACACAAAAATAACATTCAGTAGCCATTATCACCGTGAAGACAAAATAAAGTCCGAAATTTTTTTTTCCATAGTTAAGTATATTACATTATCTTTGATTTAATATATATATAAGTGTCAGAGTTTCCAGAACACTTTTAAAATTTAAGTTGAAAAAGTTAATTTTTTGTGAAAAATTTGTCATATTGAATCCCCCCCTGTGGGCAGGTAAAGGGTCAGATTTATAGAAATCTTTTTCTTATTCTTAAACATTGGAAAATAGGAGATTTACCATATTTGTCGTGCATTTTAATATTAACTTTTGAAATATATGAGTATGTCATTAAAGAAAATAAAGAATATTTGATTTTGTTTCTCAAAATTAACAATAGTATTTCTAAGTATATAAATTCATATTTTAAAATTGCTTACAAGATTGTTATATTTTTAGATATTCATTTAATGGTGGGTTATTAGTTTTATTATAGAAGTTGATAATTAATTCAAGATAAGTATTATATATATATGATGCGTCATGAAGTTTTTCAAGAATCTCAGATCTCTTATATCCTTTATTAACTCCTAATATTATCTTATTGAATTTTATTTATCAAACTAAATTTTAAATGTTAAGGTTGATATTGCAAGACCAACTTTCTTTTGTGTTTTCAAAAATCCTATTTCCTCTTAATTTTCTCCATATTTAAAGAGTGGTGATTCTTTTTTAATAAATTCAAGTTGAGTTTAGATATTTTACAAATTTAAGATATATCATTATTCGTGTAAAGATGTTCTTGACATCTAAAAATTTTTGTTGAACTTTATTCAAAATTCGGTAAAAGAAATTCGTGGCTTAGTTGCTAAAGATTTAATTTAATATTATTTTTTATCTTCCTAATCTTTAATTTTATATTGTTTTGTTAAAAATGTTTTAAAAAATTCGAATAGATTTAATCACATTAAAGTAGCAATATTCACTAATTTTATAGGTTTTTATTTTAATTTTATTTGATTTTTTTAATACTAACTGAACTTTTTCTAATGACATGATAGATTTTGAAATATTTTACATCTGTAAATAATAATATTTAAGCATTCAAGTTTCTAACGAAAATATACTGTTATTGTAAAATGTTCATTTATTATTTTGTAATGTCTATTGAAAAACATATTGAAATTATTTATGTACTATGTATACAATGATTTAATTGTATACAATCTTAAATTTTACTACAACGATTAGTATTAAATCCAAATCTTAAATTAAGATTTTGTATGATTTAATAATACGAAAGTAAATTATATTTTCATAAATCTTGGAAAACTTAAAACTTGATAATGATCGTTTTCATTATTATTTTATTAATGATACAGAAATGGAATCATAAACTAAAGTTATATTCTTTATAAAAGTACAGAGATACAAATTGGTTTGTAAATAATACTTTCTTTGTAAAGTACACAATTTTAATTACAACTTTCATATTTTTAAACTTGAGGCTTTCAATTACTCTAGTTCAGTGTTTTTTAAATTTAATTATGTTGATAGCAATTATAGGATTTAAAATTTAATTGTGTGAACTAAATTGAGAGCAATCAAACAATTAACAAAAATACATAGTACTATGTATTCAGTAGTGTTTACGAAAAACCCTTTTTTATTTTAGAGTATTCTTTCATTAGTGCGCGTATACCCTGATACCCGAAATAAATAGTACATAAGTATTATTCTTCTAGAGTGTACATTAATTTAAAAAAAATTGTTAATAGGTATACGCCTAACACCTCAAAACACCACTGTATGTATTTAATGTGACATTACATTATGGTAATAAATTAAGATAAAAAACTTAATTTTATCACTTAATAAAAAAATATTTTACGAGGTTATAAATTAATTAATATATTGCAGTGGAGATGTACAACAATTGTGTCTCAGAGGTATTCCCATAAGTAGGTAAATTTCAATGGGATACTTTATAGAAATTAAGGTAGTTTAATAATAGTAATTCGATTTGAGCTTCATTAGTAGTTTCGCCAAAATTGTAATTGTCAGTAATGTAAAATTAAATAATTTAAAATCTAATCCCGCGATTCTATCTAAAAGCATTTATGATACTTAGAAAAATACTTTACAAAACAGTTATTTTGAACAAATATCAGAGGAAAATTAAAATGAAAGACATTCTATAAACTTTTAAAACATAGAAGAAAATATTAAAAAATAATATAGAGTAGTTTTTTAATCCTTTTCAATATTGAAAAAACAATCACTTATTCCTTGGATAATTGAAAAGATGTACTCTCTTACAATAACGAAGTACAAAGTGACTCAGTAACAAAGCGTTTTAGTGAACACAGACTGATTCATTATAATAAAATTAATGGCATTTATTGTCTGGTTGATTTTAGACTTCCATTAAATATGTATCATGTAGAGGGGATATTCTTAAAAAAGTTGAATTAAAAATCTCACTGTACTAATTTTGTTAAGTTAAAATATTAAAACAAAAATTTTCGGAAAATTCTAAATAATTGTTTAAATACCTACAGATAATTTTGTATAATTAATCTGTAGGTAATTATCTAATATAATAAATAGCACATATTACGTATTTAATACTTAAAAAATTATTGAATTGATATTTATAGTAAGCTGTCGATTTTAATATTAATATTTTACAACTTTAAAATAGTATTAATAAACAATATATATATATATTACCTGCTGTAGAGACATTGTTGGTTTTTCAATTGTATTATACTCTGACAGAATATTATTGGTCGTGCGGAAGCTTAGTGATTGACTTTTGGCAACATCGCCATTACATTGATAATGATCTTGAGAGTTTTTGCTATTGGAAAAATAAACAATAATTAACTAGTATACAAATAGTAGTAAACAAAAAGTAATACTTTGCATTTCCTAAATTACTGTTGTTGTTTAAAACTAAAACACCAAACTCATCATTTTCATTATTAGTGTTATTACTTTTAGATTTTAGTCTGAGTGATGGTCTTGATATTTTCCAAGAGTATCGCTTTTGAAGTTTTGAACCACTTTCGTCTCTGCGTGAGATTTAAAAATAAATCAATACAAATAAAAATATACAACAATAAATTCTTCTTCAGTTTTATTTTTTTAGTCAAATTAATTTACTCTACTTTAATGGACCAAATAAAAATATATGAAAAACAGGCTAGTTATAAACACACAAACCAAAATAATAAAAGAGAGTGAAAAATAACATTTTCATTTCATTTCTTTTAGAAATTATGAAATACAAATTAGGGTATCGGTGGTACACAGAGAAACAAATTCTTTTTTTCATTAACATCAATGATTAATTTTTTAAAACTGAAACATTTTTAGAATTTTTTTTTACATTTTAGAGAAATTATTGTGGACATTTTTATTTTAATTGAAGTTCATTACTAATTTCTTGTATATATCAGTCAAGTTTCAAATATGTATCACAATGAAAACAAAAAAATATTTTGAAATAATATTAATTATTTAATAATTTAAAATACATTTTATTTTTTCATAAAAATACGCCAAAAGTCTCTTTAAGTTTTGCGTTTCCTTCTTATTTTTTTTAAGTAAAAATAACGGTAACAATGTTAAGTAAACTTGGTGAATATATTCTATTTCTTATAATACTATAATTTAAAAATTGTTTTTTTTAAACCACTAAAACTTGATATACATTTTCTAAGAATTATTTCATTCAAGAAAGTTTTATAACTTTTTAGTGGCCTAAATATTTTATTTATTCGATCGACAAAGAAAAAATAAACACGTGATTATAATTAATCAATAAAACTAAATCTTATTTAAACAGTAACTTACCGAGAAACATCTTCAGGTATAGTTTCAAAACTTAGATTTCCCGTTATTTTTTGAGGGCTAGATATGAATGTAGACCTGTTGTTGATTTTAGGAAATTTTGAAACATTTTGTAAACTATTCAATGATGAACGCTGTATAATAAGATAAATTAAAAATATTTTAATAAAAATAACGGTACTGTAAAATTTAAAAATATTTTTACATTTAAACAAGTATTTAAACTTTCGAGGGTTCTGTATAATGTTAGTTAACTTATTATATTTCATTAAAACTAATATTATATTTTTACATTTCTAAAAATAATGACGAAACGATTTTACATTATATGTTTGCGTTTTAATAAGGTTTACTTTTTGAAAAAGTCATTTGTCAGGATATCTTTGATCAAAATAATCACCTGAATTTTGACTTCAAATAAAATAAAAAAACATTATCCATTGTAAATTTTTCATTTTTTACATGAAAAAATATTCACAGTAATCTAGCAAATTTTAATAGTTGTACTACATTGATTACTTTGGTCAAATTAAATTAAGATGAAGATAATTGAATAGATACTTACTGCTGAACAATCAATTGAGTCCATAGAAAATCCACTACCATTAGTATCAAACGGTAAGAAAGAGTAAGGTGTAAGTGATTGAAACCGCCTAAAATCTCTTGACTCGTAAGTAGCATTTGGTGAATCTTGTGGTGTCGCTGCTGTGTGAGTAATAATTGGTGGCACAATTACAGCGGGTGTATCTAAAGAAAAAATATAATCAATTATTATATGAATTTCAAGTAATTTAATATATTGTATAATTTAATTATCCTGATTTACACTAAACCTCAATGTAAAAATCGTTTTTGGAGAAACATAAAATAATATTTTCTTGTTAATTCGTGTACATTTTTGACCTCAGTTTTTTAATTTTGTATAAAAATTAACGAAAGAAATGTTAGTAATCTTAATTTTGTGTATCAGTAGATAATTTTTAAGTATTTAATGATTAATTAAATAATGATTTATAAGAATATCAGTTTATTTTTCCCAGTTAATAATTAATAATCAAAGGAAGTACTGCATTTGGAAAGATAGAGAAATAACGTGTGTCGATAAAGTTGGATGGAAATTAATCTCGAAATCTTCCGGACGTACTGAATATTAAGGGAGAGAGAAAGTAATATTTGTAACACCTTTCCTCAAACTTTATCAAACGCTAAAATATATCAAAGTTAATTAAGTGTTTTGAAATCAAGTAAAATGTTTCATAATCTAAAATGCATATAAATATCATAAATAGAGACAATTTATTTTATTTTTTTAATTTTAATCAATATTATTTTTTAGTCCGTTTTATCATAATAAGAGGTTACACAGGTAATGCATTACTACGATGAATATTTAAATCTAAACAATACTGAATATTTAATTTACTATTACTTAGAAAATATAATTTTAATGTTACCCTATAAAATAGTATAATTACTACCTTGGGCATATTCTGTACATAATATTCATTATTCTGCTTGAACTGAATCGTTACATCACACTTGCTAATTTTCTCATCCAGTTAAACATATACACTACTTATCACTCTTCATTAATACCTTTATTTTTCTATTAAACTAAGTTGAAGTGCTAAATTGTTCGCCGTATTCATCATGCACTTGCTAAGCTTATTAGTAAAAGTATCACGCTTGTTATTAATTTCAAAATACATGAATAATACTATGGAGAATTGTAAATATTAAAATTGCATCAAAACTTTATACTTATTATTATTGATATATTAAATTTGTAATTATATTTGATATTTTTTCCAAATGTTCTAAATAGTATAATAAATGCAGTATTTACTGGATTAGAAAAAAAATATAATTGCATTCCATTGATTTATATTACAATTATTTTTATAAATACTTAAAGATATTAATTTGAAGTTATTACAAAACAATAATAGTAGTTCAAATGTATTTAGTAGTATAATCAATTAAAAATAATTTTTTCAAAGTAAGCACATACAATCATTAAATTATCATTCAATTCATGAAAGTTTTCACATAAAATAAACCCGTCAAGTATTTATCTAATTTGACATCTCTATATTATTAAAAATCTAGTTTAATTTTTCCACTGTCTGATTTGAACCTATTTTTAGAAATACTTATAATCAGAAATTATAGGATAAAATATATATTGGTTTAATTACTATATCAAATAAATATACTTAATCTCAAAAGTTTACAAAGATACATTTTATAAATATAAAAATCGAAAGTATTATAGAAGTGAATTGTTTTGTATAAAGCTCGCGATCAATATTACAAAATGTACTTAAGCTTATTTTTAACATATCATTCAAGTTTTAGATAGAAACTCGTTGAAATATGTATGAGATACTGTTTTAGTTTTGAATATCAGTACCTAGAGTAAAAGTTTTTTTAGTAAATAACCAGGTCACAGGTTGACGTATATGATTGTCATTCAAATTACATAAAAATGTAATGCATACAATGTACACAATGTATTGATTTAATAAGAAAGCTTTACAAGTAAGATTATTAAATTATTATTTAAACTTCAAGCGAGCTTTTACTTCTTTTGTAATGACAAACAATAATAAAATTCATTTCATAAGATTCCAGTGTGAATAATGAATAAATTGTATGAAATAAAGTATTAGTTGATTTTAATTATCCTATAATGTTGAAAAGGGTCGTTAAATTGCTGTACACAATGTAGTATGAAAAAAAAATGTCTAATAAGTTATTACATTTAGGTTTTTTGTTTTCATACTAAAATGAATTAAAATCCATTAAACCCATAATGAATTCTGGATTAGCATATTAAAGAAGAAAAATAATTAAATTAAGCAAAGGACAAATTTAATAAAGAACTATTATAACATTTTTCAAACCTGAATAACGCTCGTATCACCTCAACTTAATTTATGACGGACAATGTAACCGCACAATGATTTACATTTTACCTTACTATATACACTTGAGCAATGTTGTGGTTAGGCAAAGTGCACCACAAAATTAATATAGTGCACTACCTAAATCTTTATTTATGTTTTCTCTATTTGGGAACATAGTTACTTAAAATAAGAAAATATATCTATGCGTTTTTCTTTTTACAACCACACGTTTACGTTAGCTTTTTTAAATATAATAACTCAATATAAATAATGTCTGTACACATGAATTATTAAATATGCATTGAAAGACAACTTATAATTTTTGAAGTTATAATGATCGAAAATATAAGATAATGTATCTAAACCGAAATACCACTAAAAAATTTGGATTCGTTCAAGTTTAAAAGTTTGTATAATATAATATTAGGATTTAAAATTAAAAACATTTAACTCAAAAAGCCATAAAAACATTACTGAAAATCGCGGATACGTATTATGTTACCTTTGTCAACGCTAAACACACCTGACCGAAAAAAACCCTCTTTTATATCTGTAGTAACCTTATCGCTAAGTAATAATATCAAATTTTGCCAGTTTACACAAGTTTAATAATGAATTTTTCAGTGGGCCAATATCCCAATTAATTAAATTGTTTTTATTTTTAAACATTTCTATTGTTTCTCTGATATTAAGTTCTTTGTAATTATTTACATTTTTAACTAGTTTTATGGTTTTAATGGCGTGATTATGTGTCAATAAAAATATACAGGAGATTAATCAACTTCTTGATTTTTAATGTTTCTTAAGTGTTCTTTAAACCTGACACCTGTATTTTTTTTTGTTTGTCCTTCGTAATATTTATTACAACTTTCACATTGTATTTTATAAGTGCCCTATTCTCCCCTTCTTATACTTTATCTATTAAATAATTACGTTTAGATGTTATTAAAGTAATACCAAAATTCTTAAAAAATCTAGCTAGTTCATTTGAATTTCCCGGATAATATAAAATGGGCGATCTAATTACTTTTTGTTCTCCTACGCTAGTGAGTGTATTAGCCGCCCTCATTTCTTTATTTCACTTTCGTGTACGGACTAATTTTGAAATTACGTTTTCGTTATACCAATTAAATCTAACTATTTTTCTGAAAACTCCCAGTGAATTTATCAAAATCTATTTTATTCGTCGGAATATAAACTAATCTGTATACCATACTATTAAAAGCGGCCATTTTGTGTTTTCAGCTTTGGTTTTAATTGTTTGAAATATACCTGAAATTGTGTTTGTTTTTCCAATAAATTTCAAAATTTAGTTCCCCTCTACTCACTTTTTCAACTAATAAATCCAAAAAAGGCAATTTTTCCTATACTTCTTGAACTTAATCATATACTATAAATTTAAAAATTATCTAATAAAAGAATTTGTAATTCAGTTCAGATTTACATATTGTAAATTTGAACTGAACTTATGACAGTATTAGACATATTTAATTTCAGTTATAAATGAAACAAAAAGTGCTTCGTGTATGTGTGTAATAAATCTGTATATTTTACCTTTCAATAATATTTTTATATTCATAATAAAACCCTTTGAAATATATCTTACCTTGATTCTTATGTATGTTGCATTTATTTATTACTATTTCTCTATTTTGATTTTCAGTCTTAGAATCAGCACATAACTCGTTATCTTTTTTTTCTTCTAAACACGAACAAGTGCATTTGCACCATGATGATTGTTGTTGCCTTTCCAATTCTCTTCTTTCTCGTTCTCGACGTTCGTTACGCTATAATAAACATTAGTTATTTTTTAATCTAATGAACTACATAAACATCCATAAACTCATAAAATATTCAATCTAAAATAATTCAGTATTCCGAGCTACTTTTTTAATTAAAATGTAGCAACTCGCCGGTGTCTTTATATTCTTTACAAAATTTATAAGAGTGATTTTAATTAACATTTCCATTTATAATTTATAGATTATGAAGCTAAATTTAATCCTTTATTTTGAAATTATTTGCAATAGTAAAATATATAATTGATATCCGTTATTAAAAAATTGATCGGTAATTATAAAAAAAAATTGTTCGAAAAATGTAAAATAACAATAGCCGGTCAATAGTTAAGAATTTAAAAAACAAATTAGTAATTTTAAGTATTCATTTTATTTCTATGATAAAATAAAAAATAAGAAAACATTATTTTAAAGGATAATATAAATATTTTTGAAGTGTTACCTCTGAAGAAAATCCTTCGACTAGAATGGCCACTAATAAGTTAAACAAAACATAATTTCCAAATGTCATGAGCGTAACAAAATATAAAGCAGCCCAATGACTAGTTTTTTCCATTCCATTGAATAAAACTATATTCCAGTCTTCTTGTGTTAATATCTGTGATTGGTAAAAAATAATTTAAGATAAAAACTTGGTCTTATTTCTTTTTGTTACATGCAATTATCTTAGTATTTGTAAATTTTTTTTAATAAACACAAATTTAAAAACATTAGTCATGTGAGTTGAAATATATAATTTTTCAACTGTGTTAAGCTTTGATGTTGAAAGAAGAGCTATAAAACATATATATTCTATAGTTACAATAGATAGTTGTAATATGCACAAGCGATTTTAGAAGCGTTAAGAATGGTAACTATCAATAGGAATTACAAACAACCTTATATTTTTTAAATACATATTTTTTTCTAATTATACTAAACAACTAAAATAAGGTTTCTCGCTGATGGTAAATATTTGGTTTCTAAAAAATATCTACATCAAGTTTAAAACAATAAATTTGATAGAACAAACGCATTTTACCAAATAAAAACTTAAATTAAAAAATTTCAAACCTTAAAAATGAATTCAAAGTAATTTAATAAGTTTAGAACAATAATTTTATCTTAAATTTATTCAAAATAATATCTTTGAAATAATCCAGTTGAAATGCTATCTCAGAAAATATAAAGTTAATTTATTTACTTTTTTTATACATGATTAAATACACAATGATTAAATTGTATTTACGAAATCAAAATATTATGTGTGTACAGTTTTGTACTTTTTAATTTTAAATTCATTTTACAATTACTTAATCAAAATCATTTTTAAAGTGGCATAGTTATTTTAATTTTTTAATAACTACATTAAAACTTTTAAAATAATGTAAAAATGATCACTTAGCTACGACACTAATAAATATTTATTATTTTACGTTTATTTCAGAAATAAAAGCTAACAGAACTAAGTAATTTTTTTGAGTACTCGTAAAAATATTGCAATGTTTTGTAATTCTTAGAGTTTTTCAATGGTTATACTTGTACTGTGCTATGACGGTAAAAGTATGACTTACTTCAAGTTTTTAAGAAGATTTACGAGAAAGTTTATTTTAGAATAATTATAACTTTAATCCCACTTAAAAATTATTTCACAACACTATTTTTTTTTTTTTGGTGATATTTAGTTTTTTGTGTATCAGAATATAATTTTCTGACAAAAATGAATTGTTATATTCCAAACTAGAAAGCTTTTTACTGCGGTTATTTTTTTGAGGACAATAACCAAACAAATTCTTTAAAGATTTCTCAAGTCTCACACGAAAAATTCAATAAAAAAAAAGCATGGCATTATCATTACTGTAGTTATTTTATTTTTATTGATAAAATATCGCATAATTATAACCATTAAATAGCAGATTATATAATTCAACCATTTTCTGTAATAAAAGTGTTTTTTCACTTCCTTAAAGTTGATTTAGGTGAAAAAACCTAAAGTATGTGTATGATGTTTACGTAAATTGCGTTTGTTTTCTACCAGCTATTTACTTAGTGACCTACTTGAAAGACGGTGACTGTTGCCCACAGCACATTATTAAAATGTTTTCGGTCACAGACGCACAAGGGATGTTTAGTGACAATTTCTTTGCAGTTGCATTCACGGGATCCATCCCCGTACATGCAAAACTTACCACCAAAAAGATACATTCCCAGAATACTGCAAAGAATGGTTTTTTTCATAACAATATAAATGTACAACTATTTTATGTAATCAAAAATCTGTATGATATAGTTTTTTTGTGCTTTTATTTTTAGAAAATATTTGACCTATTAAAAAAATCCTGATTAACGGTCTGACTGTATATAAGGGCTTTTTTTTTTAATTTTGAATACTTGTATTTTCAAATTAAAATACAAACCGCGAATATTTTATTTACTTACATATTTGTGAAGGCGCCGTCCCTATCTATAAATATATATATATATATGTAATTTTTTATTCTACATAGAAGAGCAACCATAATTTATATATTTAATATACTTCAAGGTATTATGTGGCTTTCTAAATATTAAGGTACATTTTCTTAGTTGTTTCATGCAATATACTAGCGGTAGCATGATTACCGGTTAAAAGACTAGAGTGACAGAGGCGACGTAATGACAGAATAAAAAATTAAGTAATATTTATTTAAAATACAATGAATCATTATACTCTATATACTATGTGTAAACAGTAAATGTATATTATACATTCAGTGTAATTATTTGATCAATGACTACTTAATCAATCAAAAAATAAATATATTATTAGGAGTTTTTATGTTAAGTTTATTTTAGTTGCATGTTAATCTCAATTAATCATTTATCAAGTATTTTTAATGTTCGTCCATTTAACATTATAAGGGTGTCAACTTTAATTTTTCAAACAGCAACATGACAAGCTTATTTATTAGATAATAATCTCATTAAGTAAATGACAGGTTGACAATAACTATTAGACCAGTGTTTCGGAAATTATTAATAATCTCAAGTGATGGTATTTTTATCATTAATTCTCGGCCTCTAGGGATCAGATCCTGTTTATTATATGTTTTAGGGGTCGTTGAATCCGAAAAAAACGCAACATGTCAAGTTTTGACATAACCTTCAAAACCCAATGAGCAAGTCGGATGAATAAATTTCACAAGTTCCTTTTAAAATCAAAACCCTAGTATGCTGGAGTTTTTAGACTATGGATTCGGATTCAGCGATCCTAAAAATACATAGTAAACATAGTCTGACCTCCGAACTCAGAAAAACAAATTTTATGAGTTTTTTAGAGGTTATATCAAAACCCTGACGTGCTGCATTTTTTGGACTATCGGATTCAGTCACCCCAAAAACATATTGTACGCATATCAGTGGCATCGGAACAATTTTTGAATCGTGGGGGCTGAGCACAGCTACATATACAGAGGAAGGAAATTGTCCGTGAAGGCTATGCCCTCACAGAATTTTTCCCGGGGGGGCGGCAGTTGCCCCCATTGTTCCGGAGCCCATGACGCATATTCTGAATTATCGAAAAAGAAAAAAAAATTCTTTTGTGTTAGATATGTTGTCATGTGGAAAAATAAATTTTCTACTATTGAAATACATGTAAGATGAATTTAAAATAAACTTCATAATTGATAATTTGAGAAAAGCATTTAACTGAAATCAACTAAAAATAATAATTCTAAATTTTTTTTTATTATTCAATTAAGTGGTGAATGATAAAATAATCACTCTGTAAAGATATAGATTAAAGGTAGTACTTATTTACAGATTATTAATTTTAACGATGCGTCTAACAATCGATTTTTCAACATCTATTTTCTAGTTAAAGGATACACTACAGGCCTACAGCGGCATTTGTAAACTATGACAGATGTATCACAGTATTATCATGTCAATAAATATATAATAGAGTATAACGTGTGTTAATACATTTTATAAAATTATTTGTTATAGAATAACAAAAATAAAATACTTTTGCAAAAAAAAAAAAAAAATGATACATGAATACTTTTTTAAACTTTTTAATAGGTAATCATAAAATGAACGCGCTAAATATTATCAAAGCGTGTAACCTTTATTTCAATAAGGATAAAAACTGTTGTAAGAAATCGTGACAATGGCATGTTTTATTAGCATAAAACCCCACTTGTGCACTAATTATCAACAATATTAGCTTTAATAAAAGTGCTTTCGCGGCTATTACACTCTAACGAGTAAAAAAATGCAGGCTTAATGTTTTTCAAGGCAAATTAGATTTAAATAAGTAATGTTGGACGTTCATGTACATGGGCTATTTAATGAGTACCGAATAATAGTGGGCTGTGATGGCAATACGGAGGGTTATATTAACTTATAAAATACTCTGAAAAAGTGCTTGGAATGTTTATGTTTGAATGTACAATTAATAAACTGTGTTAGTTAAAATAGAAAATTAAACATGAATATTATTGTGTAAGTTCATTAATCTATTGCTAGTGTTAAATTATACATTTCATTAGATGTATGAAGCCAAGCGTTAAATAATAATATACAACAGAGACCAATGTAATTTTGGCTTAAGTGTAAAATAAAAAGTTGATAAGAGTATGCGTGTATGTGCAGTATGCTGGTAGATAATGTCGCTATATATATATATATATGCGCACTTTACATACTCGTGTATGCATAAAGAGATCAATATTTAACAAACATTTGGAGTAGATATAATTACTATATCTAGTTTAGTTAATATTTCGTATTTATTAATTGAAAACCAAATATTGTTTTGATTAAACCGTTCAAGGGATAGTTTTACAAGAAATAAAGCTATTAAAATTGGTTGATCTATATTTTTTACATATTCCTGCGGACTTGAGTATTTATAAAAGTTTTATGATAAAGAAATTATAATACTTCCAAACAGGGCCGTACCTCGAATTTTGTTTTGGGGGCGGTTTTAATTTTTTGATGTTAGTATTAAATTTACAATTAAATCATTAAAATAAGTAGGTATAAAATAAACTATCCCAAGTGTATTCATAAAAACCCATAATATCTTAATACTACTGTCAAATATTAAAAACACATTTGAAGATTTTATCTTATAAAAACAAAATTTTATTTCGCGTGACTGTAATGTATTATAATATATAATTTTTACTTCATGAAAAAAATAAGGTTAAACATTTAAAAAGTCAATTTGGAGGTGGTTTGAACTTCCAAAACCATCCCCTAGGCTCTTGTTTCTCAACGTGAAAAATTCACTCACTGTGATTTTAATCCTGAGTAATACATAAAAAGTGTATAAACAAAAAATACTTTTCAGTGGAAATATAATGTACATACTTAATAATTCTTTTAAGGAATAAATATAAAAGAATTAAAATCAGAAAATTAGAAATAAAACTATATTTATTTAAAGTACTTTAAGATTTTTCGCTTCTTCGGCAAATTTAACTTCAAGTAATTCATAGAATTTTATACATTTTGCTCACGTATTAAGTTTTGCTCGAAAAGTAAGCTATGATGGATTTTTTATTTTGAGGGTTCGATACTACAGCTGGCTACTAATGTAACGTGGGCAAACCGTGAAATTTATAGCGGATGTGTGATTTATTTTCGTCCTTACAATATTGTTCAATAAGAGTATTATATAAATAGTGTTCATAAAAATATTGAGGTACTGACGAGACAAATTTCGGTAGCGTATTCACAGTTTTATGTTCATCAGTGCATTATGTTAATGATCATGAAATATTTAAAAATAAGTTATTTCTAGTGTCTATGGCATTCGAAAAGCTTATACTATAAGCTTACATGCAAATATCATTCTCTTTATGCACCAACGAGTACAAATTTGAATATAGTTGTATCATGTCACGAGATGCGTTTTCTCCAGGAAGACAGAAAAAATTGAGAAAAATTATATACATTTATTTTTTTTTTAAATAAATGCATCTAATAAATTCTAAATAACCGGATGTTTCTTCCAGTTGTACCTGAAATACTGTGACTAATGCCCATAATAACGAGTCAAAATTCTTTCTGTCGCACGCTACATCATCAGGGATTCCTTCGTCTTTTCGGCTACAGAACTTACATCCGAATAAGTTCATGCCAAGTATACTACAAAAATATGAACTTTTATTTTCTATTTGTATATATTATATCATTGATTAATATAAGAAATTTAACAGTTATAAATATTTTACAAAAAAAACACATCTATGTAAAAGAAAGTGCAATAACAATTATAGTGCGAATTTTGTGGTAAGCTTAATTTATAACCTATATGAAATTTAATTACATTAGACAAGTTTCATCTTATAAATATATTATTAATTAATGTTATAATTTATCAAACATTAAAATAGACTCAAAGATTTCTAGTTTTCCATTTGAAATTATGATTTCCAACTAACTTAAATTTTATCTACGATTTGACCAAAGCTGACATGATAACAAAATAAATTAACTTTCAATACTTGAATATTAATGAAAACAAATTAATTGCATAACTCTTAATGAACTTCTTCAATGGAAAAAAAAAAACTAAAATAGTGTTTTTTCTTTCTACAATTTTGTTTTCGTAGAATAAGCACGATTTTAAAATATTTATAAGGTATTGAGTCGTAAAAATAATTGTTGCTGATTAAGAATAGAGTACTACATGAAAATAAATTTATTATTATTTGAATAATTTTTTCACTTGATTACTGGACTTTTTTTTATTTTTTTAATAACAATTTGGAATTTAACAAAAATATCACAAGTTGGGCGATGAAGCTATAATACAAGCGCTTACATAAGTCGGAATAAACATTACAGAATGTACATGGATATTATGCTATCCAAAAATTGGTCGTTATTGCGATTCACATTATCATGTTGTATATATCATGATGAGGTAAAAGCTGGATTTAAAGATAATCCACCACTTAACATAGTTTATATTGCCGTAAAATGTATACGAATTTAATTTATTTCTCTCCTTATATGATCTTAAGTCGAATTTCACAGATGGAAGGAATGGTTTATAATTATACCGATAATTGATATGAGATATATTAGTAAAAACAGCGATGTTCTAATTGTTGGAGCATCGATTTTTTTTTATATTCTCATGGTAGGCAAAGCTCTTAAAATAATATAATAATAAATTACGTGAACGTAGATCTTCGAAAATATTTTTTAGGTCCCAAGAATAACCTGAATTAATGCTCTGACACATCAATTAAAATTTTTTTGAGAATAATTCATTCGTGGACATAGAATAATTAAAAATACTGGGTCCTTTAAATCGTATAATTAAACTTAATAAAAAAAAGGTCATTGTATAACGATAAAATTTTATGGTACTAATTAAAGAGAAATAAATAATAGGCTTTATGTTATTTCAATACAGAGTTGTTAAAAATCTGATTAAAACGTCCCATAAGACCAATGTAAATTTTGAAATGTTTTGTGTTTTAAATACAGGTATTTAATACTCAACTACTCTGTTTCAATACACAATGTAATATTGTTTATTTGATATCGATTTGTTTGAAAAAATGAAATAAAATTTCTACTACGCGTTTTTCAATTTATTGTCGTACATTAAACGTGATTTTTCGTTGAATTATCCTGCAGAGTCAAAAATTACTCGAGAGAACACATGTCGCGAGATCGCGTCAATAGTAAAAAGGTGCTTGAGAAACAAATTGAATCGAAAATATGTTCTTTTAGCCTTTACTGTCTCACGCATCTAAAGTGTCTGCAAGAAAAATAACAACAAATCGCTGCCGGTAATATTTAGTTCTTGCCTCTGTCACTGAGTGAACTTTTGCGTGGAGTTTTTTTATTTAGAGCCCCATACTTTACACAATCACATATTTTTTTGGTAAGTTTTCACTTATATTTTTCTAGGAGTAGTAACAATTCACCTCACTAAGTACTTAAGCAGTCAAGCTTTTGTTTTCTCTCCCTATTGAAGCTTATCAAATGTCACCGGCGGCGCCTTCTTAAAAATTCTATATGAAATTGATATGATTTATTAATTCACACCAACGGTATTTATATTCAACGCAATGCAAATTTATAGAATTGTGTGTTATCAAAGTATTAAAGTAATATGAAATAACATACTAATTAAAAGAACATAACATTACCTGAATATGAATATAAATAATATGAGAAGTGAAAAAAATACAGCTACATTGTCCATTGTTCGGAGCATGACAAACAGCTGTCGACGTAAATTTGGCATAAAACGTACTAGTTTTAAGATTCTCAGCAACCTAAATGTTCTTAAAACGCTGAGACCAGAATTTCCTTCTCTTTGGCCACTGTTATTTTCAAAGGATTGAGTCAACTCTACAATACTGAAAATCATTGCATACATTGCACAAATTATAAAACTGTAAAGTCATTCAATAATAATTTTAATAAAATTAATTTAGTCTAGAAATGAAATAATTGAGCCATATATTTGCATTGTCATTTCATATGAGACAGTCTTAAAATATATAATTATAACTTTAAAAAAACAATTACAAATGAAAAAAAACTGATTTAAAAGTATAAAGATTAGGTGATGACCCATTTTTAAAAAATAATCTAATTGAAAACAGAAAAATAAGTTTTTAATATAACCTTTAAGACTGATAACTACAAAAAAGATACTTAGTTTAATATGTACTATAAAAAAAGTTCATCAATACTAAATGTTTTTAAAAAATACAAATGAAAATAAATTTAACACACATTTTTATATTAATAATGCAACAAAAATCTATATATTCTGTGTGTATGTATTATATTGTATTTTTATGATTATACTAACTAATATATAAAAAATAGAATAGTAAAAACTAAAAAAAAAATCATTGTTAAAAATTAAAAATCTCTAAGTTTTGATAAAATTCTATTATTTTTAATTAAATTTTTTAAATTATTTTAATTGTAATTATTCAAATTAAAAAAAAATGTAAGTTAAAATATATGTAGTATGATTAAAAATAATAATAATCTTATATAATTTGATCATAGAGTCCAAAACTTGGCCAAGTATTGTTCTAATTTGTTTTCAATGCTATAACTCAAACAACTCGTGGATTTTATTCTATTTTTAAAATATTTAATTTAGTATAAGTAAAAACACGGACATTACAAGACTTCATTAATTTTCTTTATGATAAATACCAGATATGATAAAATTTCAATTAATCATCAGACATAGAAATTTCTGATGAACACACATATTGTACTTTTATCTTGAAATTATAAAATACTATAGAAAAGCATTGAACTGTTACCTTAATATGACAATGATGCCGTCAAAAACATTAAAACCATTACTGATATAACCACAGGGGCCTTCAGCAATTATTTTCAGTAGCATTTCAGCGGCAAATATCGCCGAAAACACAATATTACTATATTCGACTATAACTGTCAATTCTTGTGGCTGAAAACAAAAATTAAATGATTTGGAACTTGCAGTAAAAATGGTTGAAAATATCTCGGATATAATAAATAAAACGGCGTATTATATAGGCAATATCGATACATTAGTGTTAAAAAATATTTATATAAAAAAGTAGACGATTAAGAGCGAAATAGGACGATTTCTTCGGTGTTTGACATATGTATATTCTAAAAGTAATTAAAACGCTTATAGTATAGAAAATTAAATTTAACCTGTTAAGCGACGAATATATATACACAAACAGTTTTTACACAATGTACGAGTATTAAAAAACAGCTGTTACGATACTGGTTGAAATTGTAGTTTTATACAAATTATATATATGTATATAAAATTACAATTAAATCTCTTGTAAGCCTTTGTCAGTTTATTTTTCTTTGTACAGTAAAAACATAATTATAATAAATTACAGTATAATTTTAATAAAATAAAATTACCTGGTTATGGTATTCTATGCCCATACTGAGTGTATTAATGAGTATGGCGAGTAAAATACACTGCTGAAATCGTCTGTGGTTGACAAGAAGCTTTATACATTCTCTTAACAGCGAGCAACCCACAAGACAATAAATCTGTAGACAACCCACTGCTTCCGTCAGACAAGCTTTGTTTTTACTTTGCAAATGGTCATCTTCTACCATTAATTCTCCTTCTGATTGCCTGTCCATCTGACGAACGGAAATAAATAAAGAAATAAGTATAAAAATAACAATGTTCCATAAAAAGTAAAGTAAAACAATTATGCATTAACTTTTAGTGTACTCACAAGTGATTGAGTTCTTGCGCGACTGTTATGGTTAACAGTTTGCATAATGGACGCCACTGGGACGCCACCGGTTTTGTTCAGTGTTTTTAGTAGTGATGTTAGCGCAGATTGACCAGTAGGCAGTGCCGCCGATAGGGCGCCGCTTAATGCCAAAAGTTCCTGGCACGTCATGTTCTGATCGGCTGGAACCGTCGCAGCATTATTGCTCTGAATGAGAAAAAACTTTTTAGTAAACCTTAACTTTCTCAAATTGTGTAGTGGAATTTGTTCAACGAGGTGTTTTCAAATAATTAAGTGTATGTAACTCTAGAATCATGTTGCCAATAGGTCTATAGTTATTTTGTAAGTTATTATTATAAAATAATAATTTTTTTTTGCTGTGTCATAAAAAATTACAATTATAAGGCCAAGGTAAAGAAAAGTTTCATCGCATCATGATTCCAGTAAAATATAAAGTATCTCTACCAAAATTAATATTGTTGTAATGATAAAAGAAAAATAGCATTAAAACTGTCTATTATATTTTTATTATTTTACCATAAGATAAAAGTATGCGTAATTTATGTTGTAAGTATTATAAAAATGTTATATCACATTTTTATTTGCAACAAAACTTTTTTACGAGTTTTTACAATAAATATGAAGCTCTAATTTTGTGTTCGTGATAATAAATAATTTTTTTATAAAACATTTATAGTAATACTCTAAATTAAATAATCAATAAATACCTAACACTCTTAAAGTAATTCAAAATAAAACATTTTTATTGATAAAAATTACATCGCGATTACACGTTTTATGTTTTGAAATCATTAGTACTTAAATTAGTTGACTAATATTGAAAAAAAAGTCAAATTCATAAACAAATACGTCAAAAAATATAATAATCCTTTTAAAATGTTATGTTAAAAGTTATACGTTTAAAATTAATGACTGGCGGAGCAGCTTAGTTTTATATTAGTTCTATCTTAGCGCACATTCTCAAAACGAATATATTTCATAGCTTTTTATATACATCAGAGAGATGTTTAAAGAGGTTAGTATCTATTAGTGATATCGATTTTATACAGAGATTTTTTCTTTCAAATATTCAAATTGCTACAAAAACTTTATAAAATATGACATTTTTAAACAGGCAAAAATGTATTATACATATTATTTTAGCTACGAAACAAATTATAGAAGAACTTGAGTTGATAATTGTAAAAGGGCCGCATGTAAACCATGAAAAATAAAATAACCGATAAATCATAGAGTAAAAAACGTTTATAGAAATACTAAAAACTAAGATTTCCCTTCTGAATTACTCATCGCGCCGTGATAAGTAATGCACTCCAAAATTTCGAGCGCACAATAAAAGTGAAAATTACAACAAGAGGAAATGTAAACATTTTTTTTTCAACATTATACCGATTTGCACAGATTGCGATAACTATTTACCGAAGCAACTGCTGCAGTGTTGTTACTCCACACATTTCCGTCGCCAGTCTGTGTCATTTTCTCACTCGAACAAATGTTATGTGCTCCGGTGGCAACCGCGCCAGGGGTACTTCTGGTAATTAACTCGTCGCTGAAAGCCACTACAACGCTTCGCCTCCTTGACACGATTCCGCCGTTGCTGGACGTCGACACAGGACTCAAAAGGCTCTGTGGAGAGACGGAACAGGGTAGAAAACACAGAGAAAAAAAAAACCATAACTTAATCGGGTCAAGTATGCGTAGACCATTGCTTTATTTTGCATTGCATGAACACAAACGGATTTGCTTTTGCAATCGTTTTTATAGACGGTAACAGTCACATTTTGTTTTATAATTTTTTTAATAATACTCAGTATTCGATAATTCTTACCGAGTCGATTTGAGCGTTGTCCACAAAACGGAGCATTGGTTGCGACGATTCGTCTTCATTGTGTTTGCCACCGTGTTTGTTTTCATTTGTTTCTAGAAAAATAACTATATTTTATTTTGATAATTAATATAAAATGGTGTTTGTCGTAACAAACGACTTGCTAACACTTCTCGTCTTAAATAATAATCACCCGGTTTTACTATGTCTTAAAGTTCACGAGAAAAATAATCCAACTTTTGCATATTAATCATATAAACAACTTTTAATTTAAGTTGGCGTCTCTAACATTTCACTTTATACCGTGTTGTTATTACTTGTTGTTTGTTTAATTTTTTATGGTCAAAAGTTGCAGACGTGCACACGACCGTGTGTTTTAAGGTGTGATGTAACAAATTCATTTTTATACTAGTTCACGGTAAAATATATTATTAAAGTTTTATGAAGTAATTAAGTAACTTAAAAATAATGATAATAGTTATTTCACGATAAAAGCTATTCCTTTGAATATATCTGGTTGGGTTGACTTTTAATTTTTTATGTTATGACAATGCAAACTATTCACATTTTAGAATTATATATTTATTTGACGATACCATTTTAATAAAGTTTCGATTAGTTTACTCGAACAAAGATGTTTTAAAAAGGAAATAGCAAAATCAATGATTTTTGTGAAATGATTAGAATAAAAGTATTTTCGAACATACGTAGTTTGATTCAAAATGGATTTTTATAAATTTACATTACGCTGTGTTCGTATTTACACACCTGGAAGTTCGAAAACATTTTTATACTTTGTTTACCGCAAATATTTTATTTAACCCTACTGTCAAACATTTATTTATTATTGTAATATTTTAGTAATAACTGCATAAGTTATTATTTTATTTCGACTGGGTATAAAAACTTTTAAACGGAAATCATACTATTTTTATTGAAAAAGTTTTGAATTAAAAACAAATTTCACAAAAAATTAATTTGAAGAGTCTACAGTATACACTACTATAATGTAAATACTTTTGTTATAAATAATTATTCATGAATTCGAACAGCTTTGATATTTTAAAACTATTCTTACGACACAGGAGCATCACTGATGTATTATATAGTTAATTTTGTCACTATAAATTATTAAAAATATCACTTTGCAATTTAACATAAAATAAATGGCGAATGCAGTTTAATGAATATCGTTATGTAATACTTTCTAATGGATTGTAATGTAATCAATAAAATTACCAATAAATTATTTTAAAATTGGTGTGATATTTTTATGACAAATAATTAAACTGTTAAATTACCACATTTATCGTTATTATTCTTATTGAGCGTTAAAAGTGCAACGGCGGTACTTTTTCGCTGCATTTTTTCCTCTTTTTCGGTCTGTCGTCGCAGCATCCACACGCGATACTTTTTTATCAGTTTCCGCTTACCCCTCCTCCATAGATGAGCCACGTACCTGTCAAATGCAAAGAGACATTTTTACATTTTTTTACATCATTAATAATTGGTATAAGATGGGTGGATACCGTTTGTTGCGTGTATGAAAAAAGGGGATGAAACCTGTCGACAGAAGAGAAGTGTGCGAGGGCGTCAAAGGAATTGTAAATTAATGAGTTATGAGTAGTGATATAGATAATACTATGTAAACAAGTTGAAAAAACTAGTCAATCATAATTGTTTAATATAAAAAAAAAATCATATTTTAAGAAATTTCCAAAAAACAATAATTATATACTCTAAGTAACATGAAAAATGTCTATAAAATATTATATTAGAAATTATTTTGTTTTTAGGACGTATAAGTTGAATAAAACATTTAATAAAATAAAATAATTGAATTTCAATATATTAATGATTGATATTATAATATTAATCTAGGAAAAATTAGTAGTGTTAACAATGATTTGAAGAAAAATTATAATTTAAAAAAAAAAAGTCCTAGGTACTCCATCTTAAACCTAATTTTATACATATATTAGACTAAAAAGAATATATTGATATGCGCAACGAATAAAGCAGCAGTAACTCACTTTTTCTCACTTTTCAGGATATCGAAAATAAAAATTACTCTCCGATTACACGCTACATGTTTTTCAATTATCTTAATGGTTTAATTCCGAATCAATCCAAATTGTCGATATTTTGATGAAAGTTATTATAAGAAGAGTAAAACCTAAATTCAAATACCTCACAATCTCGAAATGGATTTTTTGAGTTACCGCCTTATTCGTTGCGCATATCGATTTACAGAATATATACTAGACTAGTGTTCATCTTTATTAGTTAGAATTTCAGAAAGTCGACAATTAAATTTTAATGTGAAATATGGCGTGTTGTATTTATGTAATGATTTAATTAAACATCACGTAACCTATATTTTTTTTATTAAGTTGAGGGTGTCAATTACAGATTTAAAAACTATGTAATGTTTATAACAGACAATCTGATCGTAATTTATTGCAATATTTCAACAGTATCATTAATGAAATTACCATCAGTGTTTTATAATTATTTTGTATAGATAAAAATCAATAAAAATAGGATGCTTTCAAGAGATTGAATATTAGGTTAGAACTCCAGTCTATTACATGTTCTGAAACACTAACGTTTTTGAGGAGGCATTAAATGTAAAATATGAGTATCATTCAGCCAATAACCACCAAAACTGTTGCCATAAATTCTTAGCAAAGTTATTGAGTTTCGTTTTAGAGATACATTTTGTAATTTCAATTATAAAATATGGACAAAAACTTTCAAATTAATACAAACGTCCTTTAAACCCTTTTTTGTTTGGAATTAAACAATGGTACCCAACTGTATTTTACATTTTTGTTATCAGTGAACCGATATATAAATACAAATCTTGAATAGAAAATATTTTACAAAAAAAATTTATTTTTAATTAATTGAATTTTTTATTTTATTATTATGTTATTGATTTTGTAAAGGACGTATATGAAATATTTACTTACATATTAATTAAAAATCTCATAATTATAATAATGTTTAACTACACTAGTCACAAATAGTATAGGAAATTTTACAATAATAAATAAATTTTTTATTGGTAGTTTCTAGTTATTCTATTAACTCATAAAAGTTATAAGAATTAAATATTATGTCTAACTATGACTAGGAAAAAAAAAAATATTTTATATTAAAATATTTTATTACACTTTCACGTTTAAAAACAAATTTTGTTTGCGTTATAATGTCAGTAACTAAAGTTTACAAACATTTAGTATTTCTATAAATTTGTTCACTAATAAATGTGCAAAAATAATAAAATATAACATTTAAATGATCAAAAAATTACAGTTTGAATAATATAAATTAGAAAAAAATGATCTTACGTTTAAGTCGAAGTAAAAAATTTAATAAAAATATATACACTCGTCCTCATTGATTATAAGAATTATACACTCAGAATGTTTGCATCGTTATGAAGTCTTTGTAACAGTTTAGTTTAATAGTACACTTTAAAATGTTAATAAGAAACTTTAACATTGCTGTTCTGACAAATTTAAAGTTTTAACTGTTAATAAAATTATTAAATAAAAAAAATAAAGAACTTTGTTTTAACTTAAACTTCATTATTTAATAAAATCTAAATGAAAAGTATTGAATAAGTTTCCAACAAACAAAAATTGTATACAAACAACTTATTATACACAGTGTTTCGTATTTAAATGAGAACCCTTATAACTTTTGATATAAATATCATTTTGTTGCCATGTTTTTTTAATAATTATTATACTCTACATATTATTAAAATCATATTTTTTATTATTTATCACTAATAGAATATACAACTTTCATTTAAATTTTTTTTAAAATTGTAATTGCAATATAATATCACTGAAATTAGTTACGATAACGATATCAAAAAATATATCTTTGAGGAACCCTAATTAAAAATATGCTTTAAATGTAGTCTAAGAAGACGATGAATAACAAATTGTTGATTGTATCAAAAGTTTCAAATTTTGTCAGTTAAATCTAAGACAGCCTTACAGGCTTTACAATGCACACAACTTATTGTAAAAATGTTTCTGAAGTTTGCAACTTGTAACATGAAAACATGAAATTTTCGAGTATTTCTAAATGATTTTGTATTTTTGATTCTTATCAATACAATAACACAATAGTTCTTACGAAGTGCGATGAGTTTCTTATAAAGTTAGATTACACATGAAACTAATAATAGAGGTACCAACAATAATATGTTTCATTATGTTTAAACTGCTGACTGCTCAAAATCAGCTCATTTCCTTTAAACGTACGCTATCCATTTTAATCTGTAAAACTCCTATTAGAATACTTTAAAGAAGTTTCTTTATAAAACTATACATAAGGTACTTTGGTAAATTAAATTTGGAAAGTTTCTTTTTTTTTGTTCATATCCTGAAATAGTTCAAAAGAATAATAATTCTCCAAATATATAGTACATTTTTTAATTTTTACTCTCCATGACAAAATTTAATAATTAAGTTAATTTTTATAAAAAAAAAAACGATTCATTGTTAATTTAAAATAAAATGATAATAAATGAATATACGATAACAAATAATTTATTCTTAAAAGTATAAATTTTACCCAGCAGTATTAACAGATATATTTTTAAATAAAATTACCAATTTATATTACTGAAAATAATATTTCACTACCATAAGCAAATAAAAAAATTTTTAACAGATTATTCAATTTTATACTTTTTAAATTGGTTATTTCAATGTTTATTATTGATTATTTCAATTTCAATGTTGTTTAACTAAATGTATCTTTGATCAATACGGTTTTCAACTAATCAAGTTATAAAAAAAGGCATCAATTTTCTAAATAAGATAGAAGAAAGACTATTTTTCCTTTAACCTTTCGAAATATTTATGTACGCGTTATACTTAAGATCGATAAGTTCTGGCTGTGGCGCCTTGAATGATACTAGATATATATTGTTATTTTATTAAAATAGATGTTGATAATCCAAAAGAGTTTTTTCTTTTAAGTAAACATACATTCAGGCAGCATCAAGGTAGCTCTATCTCTTTTAAAATATTGAAATTTTCTATGCATGCGTGTACCCATTGTAAGTATTTTTATTCAATATATTAATATATTTAAACTGTTAGATATTAATTCCAAAAAAATGTTTTTCTAAATAAAATGTAGGTTGTAAAAATGTATTGTTACTTCCTAATGGCATACACTACAGTGTATGTCATTAGGTTCGATTGATTATAACGTGAAAATAATTTATTAATAAATATAAATTAGATGTACGTAACTCATAAATTTAATATTTCACTGTTATGGCAGCGTGAAATATTGAACAATCAAATTCTATTGTTTAGTACCACTAATTCTAGAACGCTATGAATGCTTAAAACAAAGTTTTTGCAATAATTTACTTTGAAGTGTAATAATATAATTTAAAGCCCTCGAAAGACAAAAATGTTATTAGTTTAAAGGATTGGCGATTTTAGAGATTCAAAATTGTTTGTGATAGAATTTTCAAATAATTATACAGCGCGTTTGTATTGCAAAATACCGATAAGATAACTTTTACAACATCGTTTGCAATCGAAAGTAAAACGCACAATATAAAACAAAACGAGAAATATTTCATTTAACTTCTTAAAAGTTTCATATCATACTTATTGATTATTTGTATTACTAATAACGAAACGAAGAGATATTATCAACAATAAGTCTTCTAATAATAGCTAGTCACATATTTCATGAGAAATTAAAGTAAGTAAACATCATACTTATTTAATTTATGTAGAACATGATCTTGACTATTCGCGTAAGTTAGCGTCAGTGAATTAAAACATACCTATATAATAACCTAACCTATATACTTTTATAGGTAGTTGCCTATTGTTTGTTAGCTATTGAATAGTAGTATTGTTCCTAAGTTCTTATACAAGTAATAGGAATGAAAAAATTCAAATTCATATCCGAATCCGAAAACAATAATACTAAGTATTGAACCTTAATTATAAACAAAAATATTCAAAGATATGCAAAATACATTTTGTAAACAGATGATAAGGGTTTATAAAATGATTTGTAAAAATTAAGGCATATATCATGGTTGTGGCACCAAGACTGTTTAGGCAAATTTTTATTTTGATATCATTACAATAATGCAATGTAATAAAAATCATATAATCACTAAGTATGACACATTTATACAATGAGAGCAATTTATTAAAGTAATAAAACCAAGAATGAAGCAACAAAGGGTTACGGTAAATTTAAAGCACATATTTTCTAGTCTCTACATAAGTACGACGGAAATGAGTCGTTTTATTTTTTTTTGCATTCACTATTCACACACAATAGACAAACATAAGTATTTATCAAATAAGCAGATATACCAAGTAATGTTTTTTGCCACTAAGTGCTTTAAATTACAGTTAAATCCTATTTAAAATCTTACATGAATGGAAA